ATCCAAGGTTTCAGTTACCCACAGTCCGAAAATATTAAATAAAAAATTCCAGAAAGAAACAATTCCTAAGTTTTAAACAGCCCACCATTCTGAGGATCATGATGCAGCATCAGGCTGTTCCTCCAGGATGTGAATCACCCCTTTGTCCAGTGTGTCACATTGTATACGCCTCCCACCTATTAGTCACTAAGTAGCCACATTTTGGCTATCAGATTGACTGTCACGGTATCTCAATGCTTGTGTTTAAGGAAATCTCAGTTTATGACAGTATATTGTTATAATTGTCTTCTTTTATTCCTGTTGTTAGTCCTCTTTTATTCCTGTTAATCTGTTAATGTGCTTAATCTGTAAATTAAACTTTAGGTATGCGTGTAAAGGAAAAAAAACATAGTCATATATAAGCCTCAATGCTATACGCTGCTTCAGGCATCCACTGGGGTCTGGACATAACCCCCTCAGACAAGAGGGGAACTTATACATGAAATTTTGTGAGAAACTACAAAATAACTGAATGATAAAGGACTAGGAAAGTACATAGACTAGATATAAAATAAGACTAGCCATGTATTAATAATAGTTGCAGCTGAGTGATATGTGTAAGAGTTCACTGAACTATTTCTTTTACTTTTATATAGGTGCAGAATTTCCTAAAATAACACATCTTAAACCTTAAATGAAAAAAGAACATATACAGACTTCAGAAAAAAATTCTGGAAGAATATACATACATAAAATAATAAAATTGGTTGTGGATGTGGGGGTAACTTTTCACTCTTTACTTGTGTTTTGACATTTCAGAAAAAAGATATAATTAAAAAGGAATCGATGGATAAAGTAATAACACACTCCATTAACACCTGGATTTCTAAATGAACACTATTGTACCTTAACTGCTAGAAGAGGGCTTTAACAGAAACATGGATCTGCATAATCTACCAACTAGAGAACATCAGAGCAGCAAAGGATACTTGTGAAGGAGCAGAGGTAGCTAAACTCCAACCCTGCACAAGAAAAAATGAAAGGGAGTTTCTAACGTTTACCTCTTTAACTTTATCTCAGGCAGAAATTCAAAAACTACAATTAAGAAAGGGGCAGTTTCAGGAAAGTTGCAGAATAAAAGTCAACATACACAAAAATCAGCTGTGTTTCTTTTTTTTTCTTTTTTGAGTTGGAGTCTCAGTCTTGTCGCCCAGACTGGAGTGCAGTGGCCGCTCCCGGCCACCGCGGCCTCAATCTGTTTCTGGCGATCCTTCCGCTCAGCCTTCCAAGTAGCTGGAACTACAGGCGTGTGCTACCAAGCTCGGCTAATTTTTTGATTTATTGTAGAGATGAGGTCTTGCCAAGTTGCCCAGGCGGGGTCTCGAACCCGCGGGCTCAGGCAATCCACTCACCTCGGCCTCCCAAACTGCGGGATTACAGGCTGAGCCACCGAGCTCAGCCTCTTTTAAATATTATCAAAATATTTAAAATACACCCCACGTTCACAGATTGGAAGACTTAATATTGTTATGATGTCAATGCTGCCTAGAGCAATCTAGAGATCCAATGCAATACCTATCAAAATTCTAATCGCATTTTTTTCTAATAGCATAATTAGTGTGGAATCTTAAGTCGCCCAAATAGCCAAAACAATAAAATGGCCTGGCTCTGTGGCTCAGTCTGTAATCCCAGCACTTGGGGAGGCCGAGGCGAGTGGATTGCCTGAGCCCCAAGTTTGAAACCAGACTGTGCAAACTGGTGAGACCTCGTCTCAACAATAAATAAAAAATTAGCCGGGCATGGTAGCGTGTACCTGTAGTTCTAGCTACTTGGAAGGCTGAGGCAGAAGGATCGCTGGAGCCCAGAGAGCCGACGCTGGGGTGGCTGTGGGTGTGCCACACACTCCAGTCTGGGCGACAGAGTGTGACTCCAACTGAAAAAAAAAATATTGTACAAGAAGAACAAAGCTGTAGGTTCCACATAGCCTGATTTCAAAACATACTAAAATCTACAGTAAGCAAAATAGTGTGGTACAGCCATAAAGACAATGAAACAGCATGGAAAGGTCAGAACTAAACCCTCATGTGTGGAGTCAAGTGATATTTGACAAGGGCACAAGACATTCAAAGAGAAAAGGACAATATTCCCTTTGGGAGGCTGAGGTGAGTGGAATGCCTGAGCCCGTGGGTTCGAGACTTGCCTGGGCAACTTGGCGAGACCTCATCTCTACAATAAATCAAAAAAATTAGCTGAGGCGGAAGGATCGCCAGAGCCCAGCAGGTCGAGGCTGCAGTGGCCGGGAGCGGCCACTGCACTCCAGTCTGGGCAACAGAGTGAGACTCCAACCCCCCCCCCAAAAAAAAAGAAATGGAAAATGCTTCATGACACTGGATTTGTCGATGATTTCTTGAATATGACACCAAAAGCACAGGCAACAAAAGAAAAAAATAGATAAACTGGACGATATCAATCTTAAAAACTTTAATATATCCAATGAGACAATCAACACAGTAAAATGGAAACCCATAGATGCGAGAAAATATTTGTAAATCATACATCTGATAAGGGGGTAATATCCAGAAAGTCCTGCAGCTCTACAACAACAAAAAATCCGGATTTTTAAAATAGGTAAAGGTCTTAAATAGACACGTCTCCCAAAAAGATATACAAATGACCAATAATAGGATGGTTATCACCAGGACGTATACTCCAAAATTGAAAACAGGGTCTCAAAAAGATTATTATTATTCACATTATTCACAACAGTCAAAAAAGGTGGAGGCAATCCAAATGTTCATCTGCAAATAAATAGATAAACAAATGTGGTATATATGATTCAACCTTAAAAGGAGGGCAACTTTGATATATGTTCAACATGACTGAACCTTGAGGATATTATGTTATGTGAAATAAGCAAGTCATAAAAGGACAAATACTATATTGTTACAGTAATCAAATTTATAGAGACACTCCTCCCTTATTTTCCTTTCCTCCTCCTCCCCAGAGTAAAAAGAAAAAAAGAAAAAGAAAAAAAATTCATAGAGACAAAGTAGGAAGGTGGCTGCCAGTTTCGGGAAAAGGGAAGAACGGGAAGTTGCTGCTTAATGGCTATGGTTATAGTTTTGCAAGATGAAAAGAGCTCTGCAAACAGATGGTGCTGATGGTTACATAATACTGTGGTATCTAATGTGGGATCTACCACATTGTTCTTCTTTTTCAAGACTGTTTTGGCTGTGTGGGTCCATATGAATTTTAGGACAGTATTTTTGTATTCGGTTATGCTGTTGAAGTGTACACTTAAAAAGGGTTAAATGAGGCCGGGCTCGGTGGCTCAGCCTGTAATCCCAGTGCTTCGGGAGGCCAAGGTGAGAGGATTGCCTGAGCCCGCGGGTTCGAGACCCACCTGGGCAACTTGGCGAGACCTCATCTGTACAATAAATCAAAAATTAGCCGGGTGTGGTAGCACGCGCCAGTAGTTCCAGCTACTTGGAAGGCTGAGGTGGAAGGATTGCCGGAGTCCAGCAGGTCGAGGCTGGGTGCTCGGGAGCGGCCACTGCACTCCAGTCTGGGTGACAGAGTGAGACTCCAACTCAAAAAACTACCACAATATATGGTTCATCCTTACAAGGTCTGGCACATTCTAAGTACCCAAAAAATATTTCTTGAGCAAGTATGTCCAAATACAGTGGGAACTGAAAGAATACTTCTGGAGTTCATATTTCAGAATCTATTAATTAATGATGAGGTTATTATCATGAAGCTCTGTCAGAAACTAAATTTACCATGTAAAATTTTTAATACAGACCCACATACTACAACGTTAGATTAAGGTGGGTCTTTTGTTTTTT